GAAGTGTATATTTTTAAAGAGACAAAATCCCCCAGGGACTCCTGATCCTTAGCCAGGCCATTTAACAGCTCTGAGCTGCTGTCTTGTCATCTGGAAAGTAAGATTGCTCATGGAACCAGCCACATTGGCTTGTTCTGGGGATTAAACAAGAGTATGTATGTGGAGTGCCTCGTGCAGTGTCTGGCACAGAACAGGTGTTCAACACCTGGAGGCTGGCTAGTTTTCCTCCACTCAACAAGGACCTGCTGATGCCTTCAATGTGTTAGGCCCTATTCCTGGACCCGCATAGGCAATGGGGAGTATGATACACCTTCTGTCCTCACGGAGCTTATAGTCTGTGGGCAAGACAAATAGCAAACGAAGAAAGAGGTAATATAGTATCAGTTAGCTTTCACTGCTGTGAAAATTAAATTTTTTCAAAAAGGTAAAGAGAATTAAGACAGTAGGTATTAATATTTTACATAGGGTAGCTGAGACATGCCTCTCTGATCAGGTGACATTTGAACTATAGGAAGTGTAGGAGGAATCTTCGGAAGGCCTGTGGAAAGAGCATTCCAGGCAAAGGGCATGGCACGTGGAAAGCTACTGAGGCAAGACTGACCTTGCAAGAGACCCAGAGCAAGCAATGGGGAGAGCGGTAGGAATTGAAGTTAGGAAAGTAAGCATAAGGCTCAATTTTAGGAACACTGGAGACAATCGGCACCTAAATTTGACTCTTCTCTTTGTCCTGTTTTCCTTCCTTTAGCTTCTTTAAATCATCTTTAGGTTTATAAAGAGGAAATTTGAGCAGGAGATTTAAAATCCTTTTCAACTGGGAGATTCTCTTATTCTGTAACCACCATGTTTGGTATTTTTGTTTTTTTCTTTTTTCCCCAAACCTAGTAAATATAAGTGTAAGGAACCATGATAATGTAATGGTTAAAGCATTCAGCTGCTGGCTAAAATGGTGGGGGTTCAAACCCACCAACCACTCTGGGAGAAAGATGTGGCAGTCTTACCTACTACATGGAAGACATCAGTAGGTCCTTGTTGAGCGGCAGTCTGCTTTTGTAAAGATTTCTAGCCTTAGAAGTCCTATGGGGCAGTCTACTCTGCCATATAGGGTCACTACGAATCAGAATCGACTCAATGGCCGTAGGTTTGGGTTTGGTTTTTGGTAAGTGTCAGAGTAGTTACAGAATCATTTCTTAAAGTCCAGAATTCTAGAATTGATACTGACCTTATTTTTATCTGTTTTCTCTCCAGCTTGATATATGGTCCAAATCCAACTATCAGGTGTTCCAAAAGGTAAGTTTTACTTTTTGCTTCTTACTTAAGAGGGATTAAGGCAAATTTGATGCTTTGTGGTATAAACATTGGTCTCAAATCCGAGTCTTTTAAAAAATGAAAAAAGCCCTACACAAACAGCTACTCACTGTATGATTCCATTTTATGACAGTCTGGAAAAGGCAAAGCCTTGGGAACAGAGATCAAATCAGTGGTTGCCAGGGGCTGCAGGTTTGGGCAGAGGGTTGACTACAGAGGGCCATAAGAGGATGAGTCAGAATGATGGAAATGGCAATCTACTTCCGTAGTGATACCGCCTCAGAAACCCAGGGAGGGGTCGCTATGAGTCAGATCCAACTCGACAGCAATGTGTTTGGTTTTTGGTTTTTAACTGTGGTGGGATTGCATGACTGCATACGTTTGTCAAAATTCATAGATCTATATGCCTACAATGGGTGGATTTATTACACGTAAATCATACCTCAGTAATTCTGACTCTTTAAACAGTCAGGGCCAGTGGAGTTATTCCGAGTACTCAGGTTTTAAAATCAGTTTCTAAGAGCCCTGATGATCTCCACGGGAGCTTTAGGGATGGACTGAGGGAGGCAGGTAGCTCGGCCCTCACCCCATCCCAGCCTATACCCCCTTTAACCGGAATCACTCTGGTGATATTTTATTCATATATTAGGCTTCCACATAAAATTCAGTTTGGGAAATGTTAGAAAAAATTAAATGTGACTAGTAAAAATCCATTTCCCACAATTTCTCATGGTGAAAGGGTCCTCTTGCCTGGACTGTCTAACTCTTTAGCTTATAAGGTTTCTGCTACCTCCTAATAGTGCTGTCAGAGTGGCTGGTTTTCTTTCTTTTCTATCCCTTGTCTCTGCTTTTGTCCAGCAGTACAAATAATAGAGGGTTGGCTGCAGTTTCCTTCAGTTCAGCAATTATTTATTGAGCCCCTTTGCCATATGCCAGGCACTATGCTAGGTGCTAAGGCTACAGAGGAAAATAAGACCAACAAGGAAGTATAATAAAAAAGTAAATACATATGATAACTCCAGATGGTTGTGACTAAGAACGACAGAAAGTGCTTCCTTCCAGTTAGAGTAGTCCAAGGACCTTTGTAAAGTGAAATTTGTATTCGTATACATTACATACACACACACACACACACACACACAGGAAGAGTTCTAAGAAGGAGCCAGTCATATAAAAATCCACTAAAAGATATTTCTGGGCAAATAAAACAGCAGCCTAGAAACCTTGAGTTGAGGAAGGGCTGGACATGTTCTAAGATGGAAGCAGATGTGCCAGGAGCAGGCACTGGGCAAGGAGCGATACAGAGGAGATGGGAGGCAGAACCCAGGTCACACAGGTGCCTCTAGGCCCTGGTACAGAATTTGGATTTTATTCTTAATCCAGTGAGAAGCCATGGAAGGGGATAAAGCAGAGGATGGACATGATTTTGAAAGCTTGGCCAAAGTTATTCTACATTGAGTAATAGCTGTGTCCAAGTTGTGCCAGGCAGCTTAACATAGGGTTTTTTGAGCTGTGTTTTGTTTTCTCTTTTTGTTATGTTTTTTTACGTAACAGTCACATAAAATTAACCATTTTTTTAATGAACATTTCACTGGCATCTAGTACATTACATTCACAGTGTTGTGTAATCTAGTTCTAAAATATTTTCATCATCCTGAAAGGAAACACTATACCCACCAAGCAGTAAGCTTTTACATCAAAGGGGCATACTGGACTGGTTCTCAAGTGGTGCTTAATTACATCAATTGCCATTCTTCCCTGAACCAGTGCTTGGGGTACACCAAAGACATGCCTGGGATTAGGGGAGTTGGTCTGAGGCTAAAAACCATAAATCTAGGGAGCCTATGTAGGCACTCATAGGTGCTCTGGTGGTGCAGTGCCTAAGGCATCTGACCGCTAACCAGACACTGGCAGTTCAAACCTACTGCCACTCCTCAGAAGAAAGATTGGGCAATCTACTTCCGTAGTGATACTGCCTCAGAAATCC